AAGCTAGAGCGATACATGAGCTGATGAGCATGTGGAGAAGCATGTACACTATAAACTGACATCTTTATTTATTTTGAGATTGGAACCTGTGATTTCTCATTTGGAAGAGCTATGTCACTTGATCACAAGGTTTTTGGCAATTATTATTATTATTATTATTATTATTATTATTATTATGAAGTATAAAAAATTATGGAAAAATGACACTTTTTCTCCCTGAGTTATATACTTATAGCACTTTTCCTCCCTAAATTATTCAAGTGGTTGTCCCCCCCTCCCCCCCCCCCCCCCCCCCAGAAATGTTAAATGGACATATTTACTCTTAAAATAAATATTTCATTTATTTTTCTTCTCCAACAAATTATGACCACAATTTGGTTCAAACCAAACAGACGCTATAGAAACCAAACTGAAATGTTCTAATTATAATTTAGAATCGAAACCCGATATTTAGAGTTTATTAAAATTACGAACGGTTGGTTCATGTTCCGAACTGAAAAAAAAAATACATTTATTGTTGAATTTAGGCTATTTAACAAAAAAATTAAAATAAAGGCGGTTCAAAATTACGAACCGGATCCGAAACCGCCGGTTCACCGTTCAAGATCCAGTTTTTTCGATTCATAATTTTAATAAACAGATATCCAAATATTGGGTTCTGGATCTGAATCATAACCGAAAACTTTTAATTCGAATGCTATAGTGTCCAGTTCAATTCGAATCGGACTGTGGTCATCCCTACGTATACGCAATAATTTGTTGGAGAAGAAAAATAAATAAAATGTTTACTTTAACGGTAAAAATATCAATTTAATATATCGGGGGGGGGGGGGGGGGGGGATTGCCACTTTTAAAATAATTGAGGGGACTAATGTGCTTACATGAATAATTCAGGGGGAAAAAGTGCTATAAGTATATAACTCAGCGGGAAAAAGTGTCATTTTTCCAAAACTTATTTTATCAATAACTAATCTAATCTAAAAACATAATAAAAGTGTTAATGAATGTTATACCCTTTATTTATGTCCGTTTTTTCCGTTAATTTTTTTTATATACATTATGCTATAAAAGTTGTACTTTACAATATTTTGGACAAATATACTCCTACCGTTATAACTTCCGTTATCTTTTCCACTATCGTTATCATGCACATGCATTCACTATATATATATTTTTTTTATTTTCTTCAATAATAATATGTAGGAGTTATATGTTAGTTATTTCCTAATATAAATATTAAATTTATAAAAATATTTTTTACATTATTATTATTATTATTATTATTATTATTATTTATAATAACTAGTAATTCACCCGCGCGATGCACGGGAAAAAATTATGTTATTATAAATATAAATAAAATATAAAAAAACTAAAAATTTTAAATTATTTAATATAATAATATTTTTGAGCTTCATTGGTCAAGTATTTATTATTTTTACAGAATACAAAATTACAATTAAAATTAAAATTAAAATTAAAATTAAAATTAAAATTAAAATTAAAATTAAAATTAAAATTATAATTTTGTATGGTTAATATAATCTCTAATTATGTGCATATTATTGTATTTCATCTATATTATAATTTTTACAATACAAATAATAACTAAGATAATTACATTTGGAAAGCAAATTTCAAATTTTGTATGTGTAAATTTAAACTCTAATTGAACACATTTATGATTATATAATATATAGCTATTTTATTTTTCAAAAGTATATTTTTTATATGATTAGATAATATATAGCTATTTTATTTTTTAAATATTGTGCTTTTTTTTTTTTTATATAATAAAGGATGTTGTGGCATTAATTGTAATATTAATTATTTCCCAAATCATATAGCTTTATTATATAAAGGATTTAAATATCTAAAATTTAAATAAATTTAAATTTCTAATATAAAGTACTAATATTGGACACTATTTTTTGCGCATCGCCCATAAAAAAAAATACTAGTTAATATATAAAAGTCCATTACATTTAAAAAAAAAAAAAAACAAAAAAAAAAGTATGTGATTCATTGGATAGATGTATACGGAGTATTTTTTTTAAATCGTTTAAAAGATATTGGCTAACGCGTAGCTAACGCAGCATCATATCCTTCTATCACTTAAATTTTGTGAGAAATAATATGTGGTCACTACTACATGTGCTAACGTTGTTTTATACTGTCCAATTGATAGTTTTATATAAGTTACTCAACATACCACTACCACCAGAAAACCAGCACCGCTACCTACGACACCATAAGAAATTCATTAAAGAAAATTTTATTTTTATAATTTTTTAATCTATATTGTATTAAATTGAAACTTTATGCAGCTCTAATCGATCCAAAGGGTCATTTGAATGAGCTATGGTTGATAACAATTACAACAATCTATAACTCATCAAAAAAATTCATCTGAATAATAAATGTAAGGTGGAAGTAAGGTTGTCCACATCTATGAAAGTATGAAACCTGGCCTTCTCTTACTTTCAAAATGTTATATCACTAATTTGCAATTAATTACTTTTTTCACTCCAGACTCTTCTCAGTTTCATTTGAACTTTATCAAGGATCATGTAGCTCTCTTCCCACCATGCACAAACTTCTCAATAAAAGCACTAATGATATTACACTCAAGTCAAAATCTTAATCTACCACAAAAGCTAGTTTATATGTGGAGGTCTGACCCGACTTAAGTATGACTCCATAATCTCTTGTAGAGCTTATGTGGGATCATATAATTGCCCACCCATTAAGAAATTGACGACCACAACAACCCATTCTAGACGGATCACACTATATATAGACTCTTCTTAGCACTAGGTAGCCATTTTTCCTGTTTAGATGACTTCACTCTAAACCTTATCAAGCACTAAATAGCCCTTTACTATGTTGTCCCCTTTGCTTAGCTAGCAGTAGATGAGTGGACAACTTCACTATAAACAATTTCCACTCCGAGTTCTTCTCGGTTCCCTTTGAACCTTATCAAGCATCGGGTACCCCTCTTTCCACCATGCACTGGCCTCTTAATGAAAACACCAATGATATATCACTCAAGTCAACACCCTAACTCCACCACGAAAGCTAGCTCAAAAGTTGAGATTTGACTCCAACTTAAGTACTACTCCACATTTCTTGTGGAATTGATGATGGGTGATTGCATTATTGCCCACCCCTTGAGAAGCCAACGTCCACCGCAGCCCACTTTAGACGACTCACATGCTAGACTCTTCTTGACACCAAATACTCCGTAACTATTTTTCTATTATTTGGATAGCTTCAATCGAACCTTATCAATTAAGTACTAAGTAGCTCCTTCCGCTCGGTTGGCATCAGACAAGTTTATGACTTCATTATGGATAACTTTCATTTTTTGGAATCTTTTTTTGGTTCCCTTTGAACATTATCAAACACCAGATAACCCTCTTCCCACTATGCATCAATCTCTCAATGAAAGCTGAGTTGATGCTTCACTTAAGTCAAGACCCTAACTCCACAACAAAAACTAGTTCAAGAACAGAGGTTTGGCCCCAACATAAGTACCACTAGTTATACTTGTAATTGTTCTCCTAAATTAAAGTAAGTGGAAATCAAAAGGGAGAGTGTTTGTTTACTTGTCTGATCTGTTTATTGGCGAGCCTTACTTGTGTCACTATGAGAGTAAAATTATTAGCATATTACTAAATTAGGTTGATTATGAGAATGACCCTAATTTCATTAGTGCAATTTCTTACAACCTTATGAGTTAAATTTTGCATCTCTATCGTAGTTTAGTACGGAGTATTTGATAATGGTTAACAAATTAAAATATATATCACCCCATTCATCATGCCATTTGCACATAGTTTATTTCTGTTTTCCTTATCTCAATGTTATGATTGAATAGATTCCTAATAGAGTTAACACCCCCAATGGTACTCTGAGTATTAGCGATTTACCAGTCATTTGAATTTTAAATGATCTCCAATATTCCTCCATGTTTTATAAAATAATCACCCGTTGTCCTAATTCTTAAAAAAAAAACTCGAGTTTAAAATGGCCACGAGACATCCTAAAAGGACCACGAGTGGTTATTTTTTAAAACATTGAGGACCATTGGAAGTCATTTAAAATTCGGATGACTACAGCTGGTAAATTGCTAATACTCGAAGGATTATTGGATGTATTAACACATTCCTAATATATGATCAATATGTGTTAGTATTGACTATTGAGTACTATGTTATATTATCTTTGGTTCAATGCATTAGAATACGTTAGGGTTTATAAATTAAATGTTATAAGTCAGTTCCATCAGACATGTTTTTACCATAATATCCCTTAATATTAAGGGGGCTAACAAAGTAACAAAGTTGTTAGTGCAAGAAACTAAATTTGCACTAATTTGACACATTTGAAGACCAATTTGCAAATGTAATAAATTATGAGAGATTAAATCAACTAATTGTGTAAATTTGTGGATTAAAAACACAATTCTTTTTTGAACAAACACTTAACTCAAGTTGAACAAATAGTAAATAATTTCTCTTGATCTAAATTTAAATTCAATGCTCCATGAACAAATTACCATTGATAGTCTCTTTCATTTTCTCTAACTTTCAAGAGTCTAGATTGAGCCTTTGAGCTTATACATTCATAAGCCATGCTATTCAAGTTATATAGTTACATTTGTATTTTTCATTTTTTTCTTTCTTTTTATACTTTATTGAAAAAGTAACTAAACGAGTAAAAACTCTACATTCAAAAACAGGTGTCAATAGAAGGTAAAAAGTAGTGACACTAACAATTGAGATTAAACTCTCCCCACTCATTTTTTGGTACATAATATAATATACAAATTAAATCTATATGCTATTTTGTGATATTTTTGACTTTTATATACACTTTGTTGACTAGTATGCAAAAATAAAACTAATACAAAGGGGCCAATGATAATATGACATTTATAAAGCATATAACATTATAATAACAATTGGGGTTTGAAGTATATATCTTTATTTATGGCAAATTATACCCTTTTTAAAAGAGTAAGTGTAGGTAAAAGTGTAAAACCCACCTTTTATTTTTCCCTAATCACAATATCTTGAAAGAAATAAAATCTCAATCTCAATTCTCAATCATATAAATGATATAAGAGAGGTCACCCACCAAACTCCCTTCCCCCATTCTCCAAACCAAACTACCTTCAATTTCTTCCATCCCTATAGATATCTGGTTCGAGGCGCACATTTTCTTGGAACCCAAAGCCATTAAAGAGCACGGCAGGAAAACGCGTGGTGTACAGGTTGGCTCTCTTGCTCGCTCTCCCCTGTTTTCTTGATTTCCCATCTCTGTGCGTGTGGGCATGTGGTCCTCTTTGACAAAAGTTGTTGAATTGGAGGAGTGTAAGACTGGGTAATTCTGGGTTGAAGTCATACTGTGAAGGAAAAGTATAAAGGTGAGGACTTTGAAGGTTGGAAAAAGATGAGGATGGTGAGTGCCATTGATTGTTCGGAGTGCCCGGGTCTGTGTGGATTCTTAGTTGTTGAAGCTTATCCAAAGGGGTACTCTTCCAAGATCCCCTCTGATTTGGTCCTTTTCCTGGGGCTTGGCTTCATAGATTGGTAATATCCTGTGTTGCTCTTATAGTCTTATACCTATATCTATATTTATTATCTTAGATATACACCCAAAAAATATTTAGAGATCTAGATATATTTGTTTTTGTTGGACTTCTATAGAAAGGGACCATGGATTCAGTAGGTTTGATTCAGTATCTCCCACCTGTGTTTAAAGGGTGTTTGGAGATTCTTGAATTAGGGCTGTGTATGGTCTTCATCTAGCTTTTTCTTCATTTGGGTTCTGTAATTTCTTATCCTTTTTATTGGTTCCTGTTTCATTTTCTGGAAATCTCATTCTTTCTGACAGTGCTATAGAACTATTTGATAGTTGATAATTTCAATTGGGGAATTGTGTTTTTTTGAGGAATAAGATTGTGGTTTCTGTGGATGGTGGGATGTGTGTTTGTAAAGATTAGCCTTTTGTTTGGATAATCTTTGAGCCCAGAATCTGAAATTGTCCCAATATTAAGGGAGAATTAATGAGATGGGAGATATTCTTCTAACAGCCCTGTCAATGGAGAATCATCACCCTTCGACCCTATTGTCCATGGATTCGAGTGCCTCCTCTTCTCATGATGATTTAGACCTCGAAATGAATCGCCAAGTTGTCATAACCCGTCCACCTGATATCAATTTACCTTTATCGGCTGAGCAGAGCCCTCCGCCCCAATCATGGAACTCTGAACCCTGTGATATTCTTGATGTCGGGCTTGGAACCCAAGTATATGAAACCGAAAGCTTCCTCAGTGTGCCCAAGGTTGTCGGTAGGAAATGTGCAAAACGGGTTGACAGCATCTGGGGTGCGTGGTTCTTCTTTAGCTTTTATTTTAGGCCCGTGTTCAGTGAGAAGTCGAAGGCGAAAATCGTGCGAGACAGTAATGGGGTTTCGGGGTTTGATAAGTCGGATCTCCAGCTCGATGTTTTCATGGTTCAGCATGATATGGAGAACATGTACATGTGGGTTTTCAAGGAAAGGCCCGATAATGCATTGGGTAAGATGCAACTCCGAAGCTATATGAATGGGCACTCTCGCCAAGGGGAACGCCCCTTTCCTTTTAGCGTTGATAAAGGTTTCGTTCGGTCTCATCGGATGCAAAGGAAACATTATCGGGGCCTGTCGAATCCTCAGTGTGTTCATGGGATCGAGGTTGTTCAGTCTCCTAATCTCATGGTTTTAGACGAAGAGGATCGGAAAAGATGGGCGGAGCTTACGGGAAGGGAACTCAACTTCACCATCCCTCCTGAAGCAAGCGATTTTAGTTCATGGAGAAACCTGCCCAACACCGAGTTTGAGCTCGAGAGGCCACCTCAACCTATCAAAACTAATCACCATTCCCATCCTAAGAAGTTGCTCAAATGCTCCGGGCTTAATTTGTCAACTCAACCATCCAACCATAGTAACGGGGATGCAATGGATCTATCACCCGACAGCAGCAAAAGGAGAAAGGACTTGTTTCCCGAAGAAGAGTGTTATCTGCAAGTAAACGTAAATCCTCCCGATCGAGTTCCCGACCCAAATGAGCCACACTGGCTGAATGAATTCAGTGGAGTTATGCGTGAGGTTTACGGGCCCGTTACAGCCGCAAAAAGTATCTACGAAGACAAAGAAGGTTATTTGATCGTGATCAGTTTGCCCTTTGTGGATCCCCAGAGAGTGAAGGTTTCTTGGAGGAACACACTCACACACGGGATAATCAAGGTGTCTTGCTTTAGCATATCCCGCATGCCTTTCCTCAAGAGACAGAAAAGGACATTCAAACTCGCGGATTCATCGTCCGAACACTGCCCTCCCGGGGAATTTGTCAGAGAAATCCCCCTTTCAACCCGCATTCCCGAAGATGCTAACATAGAAGCCTACTTCGATGGATCAGGGACGGTGCTCGAGATTCTCGTGCCTAAACTTCAAGAAGGGTCAGAAGAACACGAGGTACGCGTATGCCTTCATCCCCACCTCGGTGGCAATGATCTTATTCTCAACTAGAGGCAAATCGGGGTCATTCATGGTTGATTATCATGGTATTCATTGTTGCTAAAAAATATATATGTTTGTGTAGCCTGAACATGCACATGTCTTATGTAATGTTCCATTTTCACACCCCCTAGATGGTGTGTTTGTTGGTTGTTTGGGTATTCTATGCTTGTAGCAATGTTTTACTATTGAAATATGAAATCTTTGGTTTAATAATATATATAAATATGTGTAGTAGTAGACTAGTAGTAGGCTTAGATTTTCTTTGATTTGCTTGTGTGCTTATGAAATGCATTATTGGAGTGTGGTGTGCCAACTTTTCTTATAAAGCACTGCTTTCTTTCACATGATTAATATTTAGTGGAGGTTGTTCCAATACATGATCTGGATGGAAAAAATAAATAAACCCCTTGTGCACAAAGGTGATGATGAAAACCCCTTATGTGCAGAGTGTACATGCAAAGGGCGGTAACCTGGGGACTAACAAAGTGACTCGCGATTTATCTCTAACAGTTTTTGGGTAAGGATTTTGGAGACTTAAGATTAGTCTGGCGCAAGCTGAAAATCAATCTGGCCAGCACTTTGTCCCTTAATTGGGCTGGCCCGGTGTGAACGTGGATTAGTCTGAGTATGGTATGAGTTTAACCGTTTAAATGTGCCTCCTACAATTAGAGCCTGCTTAGAACACATCGTGGTCTGACAAAAAAGAAATTAAAAAAAAAATTAAAAGAAAGGAAGAAAAGGTGCAGTTGGAAATGTCAAAGTTGATAGGGTGGAGAAGATGAGGTTAGATGGATGAATGAGAGTGGCTCCTTGATGAAATGTTGATGCCATATGATATTTGTCAAAGTGTTTTGAAGCAGTTTGTTAGGGACCACTTTTTGTCTGCATCATTTCAGCCACTCATGGATTAGAATAATGGGAGTTCGTTCGTTGAGGTCATTGTCTGTTGGATTGATTCTTACATTTAATTTGCGTGTAATAAACAAAGTAAGTTGATGTTGGTCAAAATATTCATCTCCTATTTTCTATTATGACTCTAATGGTTTTGAGACTTTGATCTTTTCATTGTTTATGGTTAAAGGTTGGCACCAAAATGTTAGATTTTAATAGAAAAGAATTCAAGTTTTTATAAATAATGTTTCGAATATGATGAGGAATTTAAATTATTTTGAGTAAGATTTTGAGTTTGTCATGTGAATATAACAACACATATGTAATTATTGAATATTAATTTTTTTAAAAAACCAAATTAGAGTATAAATAATAAATATTCAAAGGTGCTCTTGGAACTTTAATCTTTTCATTGTTATGGTCAAAGGTTGGCACCAACACATTAGAATTCGATGGGGACGAATTTGATTTCTCTTTAACAAAGTTTCAAGCAAAGAACAATTTGATTTCTTTTAAGTAAAGTTTTGAGTTTTAGTCTTGTGAATACAATAATATCTATACTATTATTAAAAACAAAATCTGGTGCGCACAAGGAACCTGCCTACTTTGGACATAATTCCCACACTGCCACCACCCAGATTTGAACCTTGGTCTCTTACCCCAAATAATGCCCACTAAACCATTGAGCTAAGCCGTGCGGGTTAAAATTCTTATTCCTATTACTTCCCTTAAGAAGTCTGCCAGTTTCGAAGAAAACACGAGCAGAGTTTGTGATGGTGTCACCTACGATCTGCCAGGTTTGTTGGTAAAAGCCCGCATGGAAGCCATCCGGACCTAGGGCTTTAAAAGATGGCATGTCGAACAAAGCTTGTATGATTTCCTCCTTTGTGAAGGGACTATTTATGTGCCGCCAGTCTTCATTGCTGAGGGATGGAAAAGTAGTTCCTCTAAGAGAGTTTTGGGAAGTCGTTGAGCCATCATCCGCGAACAAACCTGCAAAAAAAAGGAGATAATGTGATTCATCATGGAGTCTTGGTCAATGAATGGGTTATGGAGAAGGCTTCAAATGGATGTCTCAATACATCAAGTAGATGCAAGTGTTATTTCATACATTGAGCCAAGAGTGTTTGCTCTTCTTGTGAAAAGTGGTGATCGAATATATCTCGCAATTGATTCTAGTTTTTTGGTGAAATAATGACAAAGAGCCTTTACAAGAATCAAAGCTTAAATCAAATTGGTTTTGAGAAAGGATTCTCCTATTTGGAAAATTTAAACGTTTTTTTATTTACTGCGTCACAAGTAGAACAGTTTGAATTTCATATGTTATCGTCTAATCAGAATGGCGAACATTAGCCAGCAAACCGCCAATAATATTAAAGTTACTATCGACGTTTCGTACAAGCTCGTTGGCTTCATCTTCGACACTAGAAGTTAATCCCTAAAATAAACAAAAGTCAAAGCTTAAATTAAATTGATTTTGAGAAAGGATCCTCATAATTGCGAATCGACGATCATGTTTTTTATTTTAATTTTTAAAAATAATAATTAAAATATTTTTTTTTTTAATTTTATATATAACTAGTATTTTCAGCTGTGCGTTGCGCGGAATGAATTTGTTATAATACTTTAACAATATTTGGATCGATATACAAATATAAATTATGGTTTGTTTGGCAGAGCTTATTTAAGAGCTTATAGCTTATTTTAAGCTACTAGTAAGCTATAAGTTCTGTTTAGTAATGTTCTTAAAATAAGCTCCTAGCTTAAAATAAGAGCTTATTTTGAAACGCTACTTTAGGTAGTGTTTCAAAATAAGCTACTAGCTTCCTAACTTTTTTTTCCATCTTTATCCTTATTATTTTAAAGAAATGACGTACTCTACCCTTCTCAATTAAAACCCGTTTCTCTTCTCAGCAACTTTCACCGCACGACAATCCCTCCATCTTCATTCGCACTCCGCTCCCTTCATCTTCATTCGCACTACTTTAAACAAACTACTTTAAATTTTTTTAAGATGTCTTTCTTAGTCTTTTTACATTTATCAGCTTATCAAAAAGCTAATTTTACCAAACACTTTCAATCATAACAGCTAGCTTAACTTCTCTTTCAGTTTTCAGCTCCTAGCTTATAGCTTTTCAGCTCCTAACTTATAGCTTTTCAGCTAGGGTTGCCAAACAAAGCCTATAACAACGAATATTATATAGTGCAGTTGATGAAATGGGTTGCATTGATTATGTTTTCT